TGGAGTGCAATTGCAGGAATTTCGCTGACAACATACAAAACATTGTGGCAAAAATGCGGAACGAAACAGCCATAGCTTCTTTCAGAAATGCTCCATAAATTAAGGAAAGCGTCTTAGAAGCTTCGCTTTCAAACTTACTTCTACCATATTTGTTTCATTCAAATTAGCCAGTCGAGCAAATGTAACTCCCTCTTGAGCATATTTTAAAATTACGCCTAATTAGAGGACTGACATTGTTTTCAAATCAGATATATGAAATATTGTTATTCCACATTAACACATATGTATATACTTTGCTTATAAATCCGTAAAGTTATTACATTGTTTAAGAAGTACCATTTCAGAAAACTAAACAGGGCTTACCTCACTCAATTTCATAGATCACCTTTCATTCCATTGAGCAGGTGACACGTTAATATAGGACAAAAGGAAAACAATAAAACTCTAACGAAAAGAATTGGTCGACTTCCCTTCACATTTTTGAATTGTACAGCGTTAGAAGTGCAACTGAAGTGAGATTCGAAAGGATGAATTCATATTTACATATTGACGCTCGCGTCATTCTTCCTCATTAACCAATCAGCAAAAACTATATATATTAGGACTACATACAGGACTCTCTACACTCCACGAGTGCACAAGGTGGTGTGCAGCGCATCCCGTTTGTTAGTTTGGTAGGACAAACGGAGATCGGCTTCACATCACTTTGGGCGATGAGATGGAGCGAGGGCCTCTGGAGACGGCGATTAGCGTAGACGTTATGTCGTTCATGGTTCATCGCAAAAGTCTCTATTGGTCTAGAGGATCGCACTGAAATATCGCAGTCATACCGGGATTTAAACACGAGGAGGCATGCAAATTATTATGAATTCTCTTATATCTATGGCAATCACTCACGCATATTTACAACTTTGAAATGTGTGCGCTCCACCTTTTAAGCCGCCCAAAAAAACGAAATTGCAGCATTTTACGTCGATCAGGAGAACTCGGATTTCAAATGTAAGGAATTTTGTAAAATAGAGCTAGTCTGATGAAATGTGCTATACAAAGCAGATAAGTTAGATTTGCTATTCTCGTATATCACCTTTTTATTCTAGACTACTGTAATTTACGCCATAGGAGGAGATGAACTCACAACTGAGAACTGTAAAATTTAAATCAAATAACAACGCCTTCAAAACAAGTAGAATTTCTGTGACTTGTTGCTGTCCCTTATGTTCTTTCGTGTAGCTTGCAACCTAATCGATACTTTTTATAGCGACCATGTAACACTGTTATTCCGTTATTTATTATTAGTTTTGGCAAAACAGATTCGACTGTGCATGAAGACCATCTATCCACTGATCTTGGTTGTGAATGAAAAAATGCGTACTCGCTTGCCAATTTTCTTATCTTCCTTCAGCAGTCCATCAAACTCCCTTATAACGATTCTTTGGGTATCATCTGTTCATTCCATCCGTTTCCTTCGCAAACGAGCATCAGCAAACATTCCACAAATTCTACTGCAAATCTTGCACAAAAGCTTTCAAAAAAAACCAACCGCTTGCATCTATTTGAGGTCCATTAAACTGCAAAGTCGCTCCACGCCTTAGATGACTTGAGCTGACTTTTTAAATTTAATATCTCGTGACGTGAGTCACACTTCGAAAATTCTATAAGGCGCAATACGCGATTGGAGGTTATTTTAGAGCCGCGATTCTGGTTTCTGGACTCTTGTGGCGACTATTGGCGGAGGAAGGCTAGAAAATTTGTCTAAGAGAGCTTTGAAAAATAATGTTAAAAAACACCCGAGTACTGATTTTTTCTGCAGATTAGTGTGATTTTAGAATTGCAAAAAATACTTTGGAAAATGCAGGAAAAAACTGCTTTTGACTTCATTGAATTTATCTGGGAATGAGATCAAAAGTTAAATGCCCGTGTAGATAAGACTTGATAGTAAAGGGGTAAAAACGGAATGTATTTATAAAAGAAAATTTTATAAGGTATAGTAACTGTTGCAATAGCAGATTTTCGACGACGATGGGAAAAAAAGCTTCATAAATTGGGAGAAAATGAGGTTTGCGCAAAGCTTTTATTGTAAAAACAGATCTTCTAAGGCACTTACTTAGAGGTGCATACAATTCAAGGTGATTGTTGCGCGGAGTTAGAATAGTATTTCAAATGTAATTGCCCCTAAATAGTGAAGAAAAGAAATAATGAAGAATAATTCGTTGCGATGGATTCTCTAAAAGTTGCGCAATTGTCAGCGAAATACTTCAGGCAATCTGAGCAGAATGGAATATGGAAGTTAGTGATTATTGAATATGGGCCCATCAAAGCCAAGTGCCCCGCCTGCTCTGATACCCTCCTGCAGTCGCACTTTTCTACGTAACATAGCGTTTTCAAGGCCTTTTAATTCGTTTTTCGCGAAGTAATGTTAGCGTATATTCTTGTGGCATAAGCATATGTTTGAACACACTACTGTGCAACATTCTTTGTAATCGAAGTGAATAAAATTGGAGGAAATGGGTTTCGCTTTTTTTTATTTTTAGGCAGATATGAATTCTTCAATGCTACTTATTCCATATATATATAAAACTCAATAACGAAATGCGCAACTTTCAGTTTACAATACAGCAAGCATTTCAGAAGACGCTCCAAAAAACTCGCATTTCTTTCAAAACTCATTTTAGATTTACAAATTTCTGAGAGTTGCGCGCAGGCCTCGGCACGAGGTCTCCGATTAAACCTTACGAGAACGAATATTCGCTTGAAAATCAAGCAATTTGCGAATTCCTTCGGTAACCGTATAAACGCGTGCAATCAGGACAAGCACTGCTACGCCGTATATTTGAAGCGCATTTTCTTCATTAAGGAGAAACATATTAGAGCCCTAGCAAGGAAGGGAGAAAGTGCTGTGATCTGCTTATTGCGCTGTAAGTTGTGTTAAAGGGTGCACAAAAAGTGTTTGCTACAAGGAACATAAAATTATGGGAAACAGATGTTTGCTAATCGGAGACCTGAGGTATCCCGTAGATCTCCGCCGGAGACCTAAATCACATAAAGTTACGGCGATTTTTTTTCCATTCTCATGATATTTCAAAGTTTCAAACACTTCTTCTACTCTTTTTTGCGCAGGAAAAACCGCGTTTACCTAAACTTAGAGCCCTTTTGAATTTCCCGCGTAAACGCTCGCATTGAAGCGAACATTGGACCTTTGCTGGAGCAGGTTTTTGAACGGTCTTTAAGGTGTATGGAAATACTCTGAACAAAGTTTTGAATAAGACGGAGATACTTAGGCCGCCAGGGGAGAAGGAGAGCTTCTACATTTTTGTTGTGAAAAAAGCGGTCATAATTGAGATTCAACTGCAGGCTCCCCTCCGGATCCAATACGATTTCCTCGCTTTTTTCACAGAAACGAACGAGGTCTAATTGCGCCGTTTTCAGCGTTCCTCCCGAAAACATTTGAGTGAAGCGGACCTATATAGGAATTTCGCGAAAGTCTGGGAGTGTAACTTCTTGCTCTTAATTCGGCTCTACTAGTAATTTTCCAAAAAACGCTGACAACTGCGAACTCCCAGAAATTGAGAAATTTTAACGAACACTTGAGGCTGATGACTCATCACAAAATTCTCTAATGAAGTGGTGGAATTTAAACGTGCTGAAACATGTCAAAGTTGATCTTCGCTTTTCTGTACAAGAAAAGCTCCTTGTCCCCAAAATATAGGTGAAAAATGCATAACGAAGTAAAATAAGG